TTTTAGACTTCAAATGATGGTCAGTTTTAGAGGACATGGGCTGCTCTAAACGACACGGCGACATTGAATCTCTTAAAATATCTTTGGAGCGAGCAGTGGCGAAATTTCCCTTGGAAACAGTGCTTAAATCCATAGATTCGTGGCCAAACAGATTAAAGGCCTGTATAAATAAAAGCCAAAGGTGGCCATTTCGAATAGAATATTTTATTTTTTACTCATTTGTAACAAAACTTATGGCTGGACTAGGTATATAGGTATAAACATTATAAACAGTATTCATTTAAAAAAATATACACTACACCCAAGCAGTTTACTTCTTTTCTTTCTAATTTTTTTTCAATTTTCCCGTGCTTTCTGCGCGTGCTTGAAAGCTTGGATTACAGACAAATCCTGTGTCAGCTTTCATTAAAAGTTAGGAATTTCCTATAAAAAATAAAATGTCAATAAAAATATTAAATTTATTCATAGGTAAATGAAAATCGACCCAACAACATGGGCCAATATATTCTTGTTCAAAGAACGCCGAATGTTGTACCCAGAGCCTCCAGTGCCCCACCAGCTAACCAAAATACAAATGTTGTAAGTGAATTTTTATTTTTTCACTACATTAATAATAAAATTATTACATAATTTCATTACTACTACATTATGTTTCTGTTTCAGAGCATAGCACGATGTCGAAGCGTCGGTGCCGAGGACTCGTGTGTGTGTAACCTCCGTGCGATGATCTTATGTAAAAAGTGCGGTGCGTTTTGCCACGACGACTGCATTGGTTCAGCCGAACTCTGTCTCACTTGCTTCATACGCTGACACCGCCGAATCGCCGACACTCTTGCCACCACCAACGACCATTCTAAAAACAATAAACTGTGTTACAGTGCGCTCAATTTCGGCAAGTTGTCCAAGAACTTTACACTCATGGTAAGCAGTGTTAAATGCTATCTGTTAATCGCCATATGGGACTTGCAGCCAATATGTTTATTAAAATTTCCAGATCAGATGCCTTCTAACGTACAGCCTGTGCATTTGTTTATTATCTAGTAAGAATATCTGCTTAGTTTAAGTGCAAAGATGTGTGAACAATTGATATTGGTTGTTAGGATTGGTGGTGCTATCTGTTTTAATTACTTTGAATGTATCAATCATCAAGAATATTATCATAAGTGATTTAGGTATTCAACAGTGTTCTTATGACACTCTATTTATGCCATTCCTGTCTTTAAGACAGCGATGTATTTTTACACTATTATAATGATGTAAAATATAATTTATGTGCAGATGATAGATAATTTTCTAGAAGTCTACCAATAGAGTACCTTGTTGATTGTAAGAAATAACAATGTCTAAAGCAATATTATACTTGTAGGCCATGAGATGTATTATGCTGTAGAATAAGACATGTACATGCATGATACATATCTCGTCGTCCGCTCGACTGAAATATAATTATATAAAAGAATTTCAGTTATATCTTTTCCATAACGAATGCCTTAAGAAATTAGGAGATAGATAGATCAGTGAAGAAAAGGAGTATGCTACATTGTGGGCGTGCTAGTCGAATGCAGACCTGAAGTTTCCTTTAGTGCGATTTATTCAGTAGTTCTTGTTAAGTCGATATATTCCACAAAAGAAATTGTAAAGAGTTAATTAACAAATAAGTTAAAGGTACGTTATAAGAGCTGCTAGAGTTGGCCGCAACTGCATTCAACTCACCCACCAACCTCATGATATCACAATACTACTGCACTACAATATTTTTGAATATGGTGAAAATAGAGTGGTCGGTATCAACTTAATTACTGTATATCCTGTCGCTTATTTTGATTAAAAGTTGTTTGTAAAATATTGATTGAATTACGTGAACTTTCTTAGGTACCTACCATAAGTTGTTACTTTAAGTTTTTATTAGTATTTATACACTTAATAATATTGTAAAGTAAGTTATGCAATATATTTATTATTTTTTAGGCTCATTTATTTCATATCATCTTGGAATTTCCGTACATTTATCTTTTACATTTTATGTAATCTTGTAATAATTGCTACTTTTTAATGATGCTTGACATAAAAATGGCTTTTGTATTAACTATCTTGTAACGCAAAAGGTACAGAATTTTTAATAATTTAAGATTTTACCATTACTATTACATATTTATATATTTATTTTAAAAAAATACAATTTTTACTTAAAATCATATATTTTACATCTTTTAGTATCATGATACTGCCATACAATTTACTATTAACAACCACTATTACTAACAAAAATTAGGCTCCAATTTTCCAGAAAAATAAAGTATCTTAAATAAAATTATCCAAGTGCACATACTTGGTAACTTGGCCCTATAAATTATTATAACTTGCTGCTATAATATGGGAGTTAAATTTTTTTTACATTAAGGTGATTTTGAATAAGTTAAATAAATGTAATAAAAACCCAATTTACTATGGCTCAAGTCGAATGAACCGTCAAAGGAACTGTTCTAAAATGAAGACACCAAGTTAAGTTTGTGAATTAAGATACAAAAAAACATCATAGTATCATAATCGAAAATAATGCGTCTTGCACAGCTCGCTTGAGGTCGACGGCCGTGTGGAGCGAGTTCGCTACCTGCATTGTCTATGCTGAACTCACGAAATAAGAACTTCATAAAACGAAATGAAAAAAAAAATTGTTTCCTTGATAAGTTCATGTATGTTAATACCACGGTTACGGATATGGGAACGCATATTACGTTCTTTGTTTTTATTCATTATTCCAGAATAAATAAACAGCCTTGCTATAATTTAAACATTTAAACTATAATATAAATTTTTGTGCATCTTCATTTAATTTGCAATTTTTGTTTGAAAATACATACAATTCATACATATTTGAAGAACTAAAATAATCAAAGATATTAAGATAGATAGAGTGTAGTGAGTTTCTCATGTGCGATTTGCTAATGAACTATTACTGCCGCACTAGTATTAATAAAAATTTCGCAAAACTGCAATTTCTATTGTAATCTCTTGGCAGCTACGATTGCGGCTCAGAATTTTCGTATAAAACTCGCAAATTCAAATTTGTGTGGCGTAATTGTTTACTGTGACATGACACTAAACGACTGGTATAAAAATATAGACTGTTATTATCATAATATCGTGTTAATTATTTATTTATAACCTTGAAATTAATTACGTTTGTTAATTGTTTATATATTCGATACTTGTGGTAGGTAGTTCCGGTGAAATATGTTAAAGACTGAGGAAAGACGCGAGTGCCCCCTTACCTCCGCCGACTGATGAGCTCCTATTTGGAGGCCAGATCGGTATGCAACTGATTCACAAAGGTCATACGCGGTGTTCCACGGGGGTTGGTTTTGTGTCTTCAGTGGAAAATCGGTTATGATTCTTTTCTGAGTACATATCCCAGGCCCTGTGGGTTTACGGTCTCTGAAGGCGCCACTAGTTGATGCCCACATCGTGGTTGGAGAGATCCGCATTGAAGTCATGGTACAGTTGGAGTAGTTGGGCCATATTGTAGGCAGACTCGACTTGTCGTGCGCACTTTGGTCTTGCCAACCTGGCGACCAGTGCTTTAAATCGGTCAACACCGATGGTATCTTCGATGGACCTGTATGGGGCCATGCCCTGAACATGGGCGTGGTAAAGCTGCTGTAGGTATCGATCGAAATGCGCCATGACGAAAGGGTTCTGTTCTGGTTCTGGCTCCCTAGGCATCCAGGCAGCTGGCCAATAATTGGGCCGACCTGCGGACCGTTGATGATATTCGCTCATTCCTGGGTAACTGGCTTCCTGCTCACCTCTGCTACTAAATATGCAAAGCAAGCCATTTGCGCTGCTTTATCATGTCCTTTATTATAAGCAATTCACTGCTTCTCTTAAGCATTAATGCATCGAATTTGCATGTATAATGTAGCAGGTATAATTCTTACTAATACCATAGGGGTTGATGTGGCGTACAATACAGAATATTCCACATTCCAATTTGAATAATTTAATATTCTTGTAAGATACTTCAGTCATTTGGCACCCAAGTACCCATAATTTTTTTATATTTCTAATGAATTTCTATACTTCGTTATCATGTTTTGTAAAGCCGTCCATACGGGTATATTAAACTATTTTTTTAAATACACCGGAAAGTTGCGTACTTTTATTACCTATACATTTTCTTTAACTCTGTTGGAGAACATAACATACTTAACAAAAAATCGAAATAAATTCTAACAAATTCATGTTTGATAACCAAGAAAAGAAAAATGTATTCTTTAAATCTATTTTCCAAGACGAGAGTGAGATGTGTGATGTTATATGAAAAGTTATTTTATTAATTTAGCGCCTTTTAGAATTTGTGGGAAATAGACAAAGCCCCTGTTAACTTCGTTAAATAAAAAATCTCATTTTTTTTTGTTTCTGGCCAAGCCCACTAAAAGAACAGACTCCGGCTTTTATTTCCAAGGATTTGGCTGTGTGGGCTATGTTGCTTTTAGCTGTTTATTGCACAAATGAAAAACTAGCATATGTCGTAGACCATAGATAATACACTTAATATTTGAAGACTTTTTGGCGGGAACATTGAGTGCAGTGAACTTTTTGGAAGAACCAGAAAAGCCATTTCCAATGTCATTATTTCACTTTTCAATATTTGTATTTAAATCAATATACCTGCAGAAATATTAAATTATCAATAAAATAACTGATACAATTATCCTTCTTGAGTTACCGCCAAAAAGTCTGCGAAGATTTACTAGAAAATAGTAGTTTTGTCAAACAAATTAATCATTTTTTCAAGTTCATCTGTCTTATATTAAATGATCATTAATGCATATAGAAAACTCAAACTTAAAGGAAAATAATAATTTAAAATAAAAAAAAAAATTCAACCTTAAATGATGATTATTCTAGAACCTCGTCGATTTTTTTGTTTCTGTTATGTCATTTTTTGACTTTGACAAATATCAAATTAATGAAATTTGTCAGTTACTGTTGTACAGCGAAGCGAGTGGTTGTGTATCTATTCCGGTTTTCCAGGGGTAGATTTTCCGATATTATGTAGATTTTTCTCCTTACCTTCAGTCATTACATACGGATATATTGTTTGATAATGTCGCCGGTTCTTTTAGCTGTTGTTGCTGTCATACTATGTATACTTTTTCGAATATTGAATGTGAATAGCCAGCCCCAAAATCCAGTAATTTATGGAAGAGACAGAAGTTTCATTGAAAACATCTTGTTCGTGTCACCATTCTTAAATGAAGCGTATGTTTATTTTTATTAAACATTGTTTTATGTATCATACACCTTATATATGTAAGGTAAACTGTTATGAATACTTTGATGATGTCATTTTTCAAAATTCCGATTCTGATTCGTTCACATTTTTAAGCTTACCATTTTTCATTAGAAACTTCTACTTAATTTAAAGAACTGAATACCTATATTTGATTTTTATACCATAAGATACATCACTAGAACTGTAATCTGTAATGCTGAAAAAGAGAAAGTGTTTGAAACTTAAAAAATTATAGCATTTACTTAATAAGAAGCTAATAGTAATATAACTTTTACAAATGTTAAAAAAACGCTGTAGTAAGTTGTAAAATTCATACATTTTTCCCAGACAAACGTATGTGCCCTTTATAGGTGTATACAGGATACATTTTAGTGCAATTAGTACATTCATACTCTAGATTTATATTTTTATTTATAGGCATACCTCTCAAAATGAAAAGTTTGATAGTAAAAGAACATACATTCAATAAACTAGATATCAAAATAAGCTTGATAAGCTTTTTCATTGCTTATAAAAAGGGGTTACTCAAAACTAAATATAAGTTATTAGAACAAAATCCTAAAGGGTATTTTGGATTTAAACTTAACAGTTTTAAAAGTGAAACAGTATGTACCTTATTAAATCTAATTAAAGATCTAAATTATAAATAACAATTATGTGAATAATAAAAGCACAAGGTTTTGAATTAGCGCTCTACATAGCAACAGTATGAAGAGATCTTTGATCAGTGTTTTGTAATTAGAGCCTGCTTCTTCTAGTTTCAAGCATCTTTATTAAAAGTGTCCATGAAGGACCATTGAATAATAAACCTTAATTTTTATTTTAATCTGGTTATTTTTTTCCACACAAATTTACTAAACTTTTTACTTTTTAGGAATGGAATATCAAATGACCTGTCCATTATAAGAATGCCCTGTGAAAATTTCAAGCAGTGCATTTTTTGTTGATCTTGATGAAACCACAAGTCATAATATTATTAATATTAAAAACATTGCTGTATTATTACTGTATTGTATTTACAGAATTAATCAAAAAATGTTTATGACTAATTATTTATAAGTTATGGAATTTGGAATAAGAGTTGGCATGGCTCTGAACTGGGGTAATGGTGGTTCCTTAAAATAAACTATGAATGTGCAACATAGTAGAGCCTGTTCTAAGCAATTATGTGTCAGTAAAATAATCCTGCTTATTCCTGTAATGAAGCAATCAAGGCTCCAGTCTGATGAGCAGGATAGCCATCTTATGATACTGAGATTTCAGCTTAATGTTTCATGGTCTGTGACTACATTCATTTTTACAAGATTGCTATCTTTGGTAGTAGTTTGGTTTTTGATTTGGTAGCCCAATTCAAAATTGAATCTTTATCTCTTCATCGTAAATACTTAGACTTAGTCTATTTGTACAAAATCATACATTATATAATAAATTCAAGTGATTTAATTTCCCAAATATCTTTTAATACCAGATTTGCGGTAGGCAGCGGCTTGGCTCTGCCCCTGGCATTGCTGAAGTCCATGGGCGACGGTAACCACTCACCATCAGGTGGGCCGTATGCTCGTCTGCCTACAAGGGCAATAAAAAAAAAAAAAGATATACTGCGCGTAGATCACATTGCACTAATCTTTTTGCACTTGAAGTTCACAAAAATAACATCTCATACTTTAATCCCATTGTTAGAATGGCATGACATTATAATGAGTTGGCAAGTAGCGACACTGATCTTGATATATTTGAGAATAATTTTTATAAATATTGTAAATTAGTTAAACATATTCTCAAATAATTAATATTATCCAGTTAATAATACATTAGATCTAATTTAATCAGATAGTAACTTACATGTTTGTGTGAATGTGTGTGCGTGCGGTTGTGTGTGTGTGTGAGAGTGAGCGTATGTGAGTATGTATACATGGTATTTAGGCATCTGTTCAGTTATAAAAAAAAATCTGTATGCACCTGTTTTGAATTGCAATCCAGATTGTTATGTTAAACATTTAAACTTATAATTTCTTTGGTTGTAATTTGTTTTGTGCATCAATAAAAAGAAAAAAAAATGAATGTAATAGTCAATGGTACCATATAAAAACAAAAATATTGAATATAATATATTTTGTTATAGTTATTTCCCTACACGTCTATGGGGCTTCAGTGGACATGTTCAGACGATCCTACACAGTCTTATTGGACGTGTAAGATGTCCATGGCCGATTGGAGGTCGCATTTCACTAGTCCTGCCAGACAAGTCTACACTCACATATGATTTGTATGAACCAGTGGGATCTGAACATGAAGGTAAATAACTCATACACTACCAGATTGAAAATATTTCTAATTTTGTTGTTTATTATTATATTTATAAATAAATCAATTTATTATTGTAATTTTTTAAAATAGATAGTTGACTGAAATATTCTCATAAAATATATAAATTAAATAGGCTACATTGGAGATACCATCTTTGCTCTGCCAATTTATACAGTTATGTAGCAAATTGGTAGTTCAAATCAACTTGGTTTGAAAGATAACCAACTTTTTAGACAGCTGGCTGTCGCTGTACTCTAAACAACTCAAAAACTAGTGTTGTGGGGTCTACCAATCTGAACTACCAGAAAAATAAAAAAATAAACATAAATATTTCTAATCAAAACATGAATTATCTATCAGCCTTCTATATTTATGTCTCAGGCATGTACATTATGACTAATTGATGATGTCATGAATAAAACCTATCTTCCAAATGGACAATTACAGAATACATAATTTAAAATATACTTAATGTAATAAAAGTCATTGAGATTTTTTATTGAAATGTATTTTAATTTTGCTTCATTCATTTCGATGATTCCAAATAGGGCCATACTTTCATTGCCATGACGACTTAGATAAAGAAATTTGCATTGGCTACTGGGTTTATTAATCAGAATAAGAAAGCAGCCGACCCTGGTGTTGTTGGAAATAGCCTACCGTTTAGCAATTAAAACCTACTGTACATGTAGCAAAAGCAAACAGTTTAATGCTTCATCTGATTCTAGATAGTTTTCATCACTTATAGGCGTTGTATAGAAATAATCATGATCAATATTACAGTAGCGAAGGTCATTAATAGCCGCGTGCTGAAGGTTTTAAGTATATCATCCACAAAATTAAGCACACAGTTTGACTAAATTTTTGTACTATAATACATATTAAAATATGGTTTAAAATTATATTAAGTAAATAATAAATTCTTTACTCAACACATGCAGCCTATACGGCGGTATGGTGACCCATATTCGTGTCTTCACTCAAGTAGTCGCTAGAGATTTATTGTTGTTTATTGTGAAGAACCTATAATGTGCAACAATACACAACAATACTATTTCACATTATGAAGTAATCGTGTTCAGTTAATTAAACCAATACATATACCTACACATTTTTTAGCATCAGATTATCATCAGTGTGCGAGTAAATTCAAGCACTCCTCTTTATTACGCGTTGTAGGTTTTTTCCACAATATTTCGGTCGTAAATTAAAGTTTTAAAGAATATCAGTGTTTTTTTTTATTTGTCCTTGCAGACGGGTATACGGTCCATCTGATGGTAAGTGGTTACCGTCGTTCAAGGACGGCAGCAATGCCAGGCTAAACCGCTAACTAAATAAGTGTTTGGGAAATTCAATGCGAATAAATGACGATTGATTGAGAAAAATCGTTTAAAATGAAAAAGTTTTTTACTCGAGTCCACGCGAATTTATATTTTAGTCATGGCTTTATCATCCAATAAGATAATTCTCATTGGATGATAAAGTCGCCGGTCAGCCGAATGGTTCAATGATGACCAATGAGTAGGAAAGGAAAAAACTCGAGGCATTCTCTTTATTAAGTTTTAATTATTATTCAGCACAATATCGCTAAACACTGAACTAAAATTGTACAAAACCTCATGTAGAAATAGGGTGCCATTTACCAATAAATAGCATAATAATATGTAAACGCCATAATTACAGTGTTAATAAATTGTCAAACATAGACAATAATATGTTCAGACTAATATTAAGGAAGTATAAAACGCAAGTCATAAAAATTCGAATCTCACTCATTCAGAGCATTACGTTTAAAGATTAAATTGATTAGAACTTATAAAGCCTAATTTGTATCTATGTACATACGTATAGGAACTTGTATTATCTCTTACGTTATGGCGTGACACTGACTAATAATAATTCGATAAAATGCGAAAGATAATCCAGGAACTCCATCATCATGAAAGGCTCCATTATCACGTTAAACATCGCTATGCACTTGTTGAGATAATGTTTAGCCATTACGTGTTATCGCAGATGACGTCACTGTGGCTATCTGTCCCGGCATCGGCAACACATCTGAGAGCGTGTACATACGCACTTATGTACATTATTCGCAATGCCACGGATATCGTTGTGCCGTTCTAAACCACATCGGCGCCCTCCACAGCGTGCCGGTAACCGGCAACCGAATATTCTCGTATGGTGAGTCATTGAATTGTACAGACGTAAAACTAATTAAATATCTTTTAGCGCAAACTTTACATGTTAACGAAAGGGGTACAATGTTATCTCTAATTATTTTCGGTAATAAAGATAAAGGTGTTCTGTTTTATAAGTAACATTAAAAAGTAAAATTAAGTTGGAGATCTCAAGATAATATTATTATCATTGCCGTATCATTATCCGAAACTAGCAATAGTGGTTTTACTCTGATTTCCTACCCAACTTCCTGCAAATCTTCGGTATGAATCGGGAGAGCGCGTCTTAATCTGATGCAGCAGATTTCAACCTTATTTCTCAGCGGGCGGGAGAAAACCCGTATTTTCGTTATTATAAGCACCAATGACCTCATCTGCCCATCTACGCAAATTCTAAAACAGCAATGATTACCAAATATATACTCACAATAACAATATAAAATATGTATGTAGTTTTCATTTTCTGTTTCACCTCTATAAATAAATGAAACGGTACATTTTAAACCACTCTTAATGTCATTTCAAATCCGCTTGTTTGGGAAACTGGGTAAAAGAAAAGGCCATATAATAAATACAAAAAAAAAACTATACTGAACATACATGGTTATAGTTAAGCGTTTGCATGCTCGAATAAACATTTAGTTGTTTGTTCTTGTCATATGGTAATAGAATAATAATTTAACTTGGTAACCGTACTCGTCGGACTCGACAATGAGTTCGACGTGAAAGCTAAACCCATACATCAGTCCGCTCAGTTTCTCGCCGGATCTTCTCAGCGGGTCGCGATTCTGATCCGGTAGTAGACTCATTCGCGAAGCAACTACTCTGGAGTTGTTAGGTCTCCTTCGGAGGCGCTCGGCCAGCTGTTATCAAATCCCACCCCTCCTGACTGAACCTTTGCTCGCCCACCTGTCCTGGTGAAACCGAAAAGGCCTCAGTGCCACCAGTGATTCTTCAATCATAAAAAAAATAGGATTTATCCCACCCTAATTACTCCCATCATATTTACCTACTTTTGAATATTGTAGAAATCAAAGAAGACAGCCTAGGAAGGAATCTTTTAAAATGAAAAAATTCGATGACGTCACACACTTGTAACTATGCACCTCGTAACTATGGAAATGAGTCATGCGAAAAGAACTAGCCGCGCGCCGCCCTCCTTATTGATCGATCTACTGCCATGAGTCAATAATGACTAGTTTTGGTACTTTTTTGTTGGCATAAACGAACACATCTCATGCCCAATAATAACGTGGATGTCATTTCCATTTTGAGACATTAGGTCGAACTCTGAAAAGTGCATTGACACGTTTATATCAACGACAACCCACTGAGTTTCTCACCGGATATTCTCAGAGGGTCGCATTTCAATCCGGTAGTAGATTCTTTTTTTTTTCTACCTATGCTAATAGCCTTGAGAGGCTATATCAGCTTCGACCTAACATGTAGTTGAGCTCACGGGGCTCAAACCGGAGTGGTGCTAACACTGGCCCTAGCAAGAGCAGTGCTTCGCAGAATCTATCATCGGATCGGAAACGCGACCCACTGAGTGGGCTGTGTTTGTGGGTTAATTCGCTCGTCGAGCCCTTCGTCGCAAGCGACGGGTTCGACGAGAACGGTGACCGGTGCTTGTGATACCTAAAAGCACCGTTAATGGGTCAGGGGGAACCGTAATGACGTGAAGATTCTTGAAGCACTACTCTTGCATAGACTAGTGTTAGCAAATTCATTCAGGTTGAGCCCGTGGACTCACCTACCCGTCTGTGCGTAGCTGGAATAGCCCTTTAAGCTACCAGCGAATAAGTAGAGAAGGAGGATCAACGATTGTGATGAAAAAAGAAATCATTGTTATAATCACCGTTGGTTAAGCGTATTCTGAACTAGTGGAGGCAGAAACCATCATCCTGCCTATTTCTGACCCGGATCAATCGTACAACCCGATTTAAAATTTGGGACAACCGTTAAACAATACTAGACCTTGCCCTAATGTGTTGGTGCCGATAATTACTTAGCATCATTAGGTCATGAGCTCGTTCATCCAAATATAAAAAAATATTAAAAAAATCAAGGTGCAAAATATTTCGTACCGCTTAACCGTGACACGTAAAAATAATATTATTAATATATGTACATATTCAATATTAAATTCCATTCAGCTTTATGTAATTTGGTTAATATAATGAAATATATTAACATAAATGACCAGTAGAATATTGTGCAGAAGAATTTGTATACTTAAATAGTGATAAGACTAAGATTAAACACAAAATATTCTTATACTAAAACCATAGTTAGATTTTACGCACGAAATCCGTCAAGCAATGCAGAACTTATATAATAAAATACACACGCGCGAATCGCGATTTCTTTTGTTCCAGTTGGGATTATAAAAAAAGGAACAAATATTACTCAATTACTATATAACTTTGTTGATAATAATTTATTGAAAAACACACCTGTGCGCCTTGCGTATAGATTATGATAATGAGTTGGAACGAATATGACGAGTTCGACTCTGTCGAGTTTATCTTTCTAACGAGAGCATGAGAAGAGAACGAACGATCCGTCAAGTTCGCCACGAAATATGTGCCTAGTGTGTCTACCGGCCAGTATTTGAAGTTTCTTTTATAATATATATAAAAGAAAAAAATACCATATGGAATCTTCGCAAAATTTAAATAAAAATCGAATGTAAAAATGTGTCGCTTGTTTAATATAAGAAGGGCAGATGTTTTATAACCAGACGAAACAGGTCTCATTTTAAAACTAAATTTGTTAAAATTTCTCATGATACGCCCAGGTCAGCAGATGCACGCGCTAGACGGAAATTAGAATAAATATTATTTTTGGCTCATGATAAGTGGAATTTATAGATTTTATGCAGTTTTTCCTGTATTGGTACAAATCACAAACTTTGTTGATGTTCTCTCATATACACTTTAGTTTGTGTATAGTTTTTTTTTTTACTTACCACGTTCCATGTTATGTTTTAGCCCTGTGTAAATAAATACGATATATCTTTAGGTTCTCACCAATAGACAAACGAGAAGATAAGCACATTTACCTATACATGTATCATGCCGATAATTTAAATATATTCTGAGTCACATATCCGAACCTACGATCGTTGCTATAAAAAGCTCGCTCGGGCCATAAGCTCAATAAAACTTAATTAATGAACGAATATTAAATATACATAAATATTCATATTTTTGTCATTGTTGTCGTTGGATGAGATAAATTCAGTTAACGTTAATCTTATTCGGAATTATTTTTAAATTTACAATGTCAACTTGTTAGTTTGCAAACATGATTTTAACCATAAATAAATTTCATATTAATGAAGTGACCGCGAATACATTTTAATTGTCTCATTAAACCATTTAGTGGCCATAAAATCATGGCTTTTATCAATGAGTAGAAAACTCTAAAAAAAAAACAACACCAATCTTACATTATTGGGATCGGTGTACTGTTTGCATTAGAGGAACAACAAAAACCAACACATGTCTAGAATAATATATTCTACTAGCCGTGAACTCAGTTTCATAATTTATGGAGTGCAATCAATATATATCAAATTGACGTGAAGCGTTAATATTGATTGCCATAGCCATATGTTACTTACTCGGTTTAATCGATTTATGAGGTGTTAAAATAAATTTTATTGTTCTATTCTATTGACTGAAATATGATTTAAGATAAAATATTAATTAGAATTGAGGTGATATTTTCTGACGCTCATAAAATAATTTTAAGATAAAAGCTCTAGTTGCTGTAAAGATATTTGAAAGGAATTAATTAAATTGATTTTTGAAAATTTACAATTGTGATATTTCTGGATTATAGTTTTTTTTTTTTATTCACAGGTCACACAGACGATTTCAACTACATGATTGAAAATCTGATGGAACGCTACCCCAATACAAAGTTGATTCTAGTCGGTTTCAGCCTTGGAGGCAATTTAATCACAAAATACCTGGGCGAGGAGAGGAAACGGCCCGCCAATATAATAGGAGGTATCTCAATATGTCAGGGATACAATGCTATTGAGTAAGTACTACATAGCTTTTTTTTAATACGCTTGGCTGTTTGTACCAACAGGTCAGGGTCATCGTATATCGCGACTCAATTGATGATCAAGTAAAACAACTCTGTTTACGAATTACATTAACTATTTCGTTACATATACTTTTCTGATGGGATGTCTTGTGATTCGAAGAATAAAAGAAAATAAAACTTAGCATAGGTAATTCCGAAATAACTTTTGTTAAAATTACGTAAATTTGTACACAAGATTAATTTATGCTTTAAATTGTACCTATGTATTGTATTCAATATGTGTACAGGTGTAAAAAAACGCAGACCGAACTGCTGGAATTGTAGATTTATTAGCCAATAAATAAAAATGGAATATTTACATATGTACTTAAAATATGTGGTTAAATTTCACATGTACCTACTATATTTCATTGAATGTGAAATGTGTTTGTAAATAGTTGCTTAAATCGAGCTACGATTCATAGAATCAATAACAGTTTTACTATAGATATGTTGATAATAAATATTGATCTTGTTGAATTTTTACTGGTGGTAGGACCTCTTGTGAGTCCGCGCGGGTAGGTACCACCACCCTGCCTATTTCTACCGTGAAGCAGTAATGCGTTTCGGTCTGAAGGGTGGGGCAGACGTTGTAACTATACTTGAGACCTTAAAACTTATATCTCAAGGTGGGTGGCGCATTTCCGTTGGGGATGTCTATGGGCTCCAGTAACCACTTAACACCAGGTGGGCTGCGAGCTCGGCCACCCATAAAAGCAATTAAAAAAAAACTGTCCATATGTCGCACATTATTCATTGATTTCATGTTAAAATCTTCGATTTTTCATCTACGGACTCTCGCACATTAGGTCAGGTGGGCGAGCAAAGGCTCAGCTAGGAGGGGAAAAATCCACCTATATATATATCACTTTCCTATTATATATTTTATATGAACTTTCGCACTGTACAGGCGATGTAACGCGTTGCACTGCGGCCTGTAGTGTGCGCGAACCTAGGACTCTGAGTATCGGTAGCCTTTGTAATTGAGTATGACGTCTTGTGTCCAGACGAAAGGCGGAATTCACCTAGTTGAGTCGCTGTGATTTCCACTGTACTTAAAAAGAGATTAAGTACTAATTTTAAATTATAATCATAACAGAATTAGCTGTCGTTACTGTAATTTAAGATGTTACTCGCTCAGTTTTGCATACCTTGAGATTTGAGAATGGCTTTTATCTTGTTTCAAGGTGAAACGATAAAATTTTGTATGAGTGATCGCCAATGTGATCGTGAAAGATAAATGTAGTATTTAATAGTCAATATTATTAGTTAACATTACAGCTAAATATGAGGGTTTTTTTTGCATTTTCGTGATACATCTGTTTTTCGGATTCAGTATTGGTTGGTGTTAATCTCTGTGAGATTGATGTAATAACAATATGGTGTTAGTTGGACCGAATTAAAATACCATCTTTATTATCTTAGCGTTCCATTTTACCGCATGAGCAGTATGTTTTGGTCAATGGACGGACCTCTATACAAACTTAAATCGATACAATGCCAAAATCTAAGAAAATGATTTTTTTTTGTTTAAGATTAAATACTATATTTCGCACTGTACGATTTAAGTGATACCTATTTATTTACTGTGGTATGTTATTTGTTTAGTATGGTAGTGTAATGTAATCTTAGAGCCACATGAACATTTTGAACAAACATTTTATTTAAGTTACATTATATAATTACATATTTAAAATTTTATGTCGCTTTAAAAAGTTCAATGACCAATTTGAGAGTTATATCTCTCAATGACTATGATTATAGTGCACGTAATGAAGTTGTGAATTATTTTTACGATTGTCTGGTACAGATAAAATAATAAATAGCAAATAAATTAGCTTAAGTGACAAGGCTGTTCGGCATTTTTATGTTTATTTTTACTGGTGGTAGAACATCTTGTGAGTCCGCACGGGTAGGTACCACCACCCTGCCTATTTCTGCTGGAAAGCAGTAGTGTTTTCGGTTTTAAAGACGGGGTAGCCGTTGTACTGTAAAAACTGCGACCTTAGAACTCATGTCTCGCGGTGGGTGGCGTGATTTACCTTGTAGATGTCTATGGGCTCCTGTAACCACTTCACACCAGGTAGGCCGTGAACTCGTCCACTCATCGCTACATCGTATAAAACAAAGTCGCTTTCTCTATCCCTATATCCCTATGTATGGTTAAATCTTTAAAACTACGCAACGGATTTTGATGCGGTTTTTTTTAATAGATAGAGTGATTGAAGAGGAAGGTTTATATATATAATAACATCCATTAAATAGTGGAGAAATCAATAATAAAATACAGTTTTCGAAGCGCAGCGAGGGCGGGTCGCTGGCAGTCTTAAGTAATAAATGATTAAAAATATTATATTATTTATGTCAAATAAACGTTCTGACATCCAAGAACAATAACAAACGTTGAACACGATAATGTAAGAAAAAAACCCGGTTAGCATTCGTATTGTTTGTGTAAGTAAAAATTACGAAATCACACATGTTCGTCGAATTTCCGATAAGCAGCACATTGCATTTTATAGTTGTTCAAGCGAAAAATAATTAACGAAATACCAAATATCCATTTACTTGCTAATATAATAATTGCCTGGTCGGGTAGCTTTAACTATAATTTTTATTGGTGCTTTACTAATGAAGCTGAATGTTTTACTAGCAAAGTCTTAGTAATGAAACTGAGAAATTCAGTGGCGACGCTTATTCAGCTCGGGACAGATAGTAAGACGAAATTTTATTCTACACAAACTTCAATAATTTTCCACTATCAATTTTACGGGTTTCTTATTCAAATCCGTACTTATACATGCAGGCTATTTCCGAAGTCTAATATATTCGTAAACTATTAATCTTAAAAACAAATCCTAAATACATATTATCGTTGTAATAAGCTCATAGTAAGTACTGTAATAAACATTGAGACGTAGAATTGACGTGTCAAGTTGGGTGGCGGCATTTACGTTGTTGATGTCTATGGGCTCCGGTAATCACTTAACACCAGGTGGGCCGTGAGCTTGTCCACCCATCAAAGCAAATAATAATAATACCTAATAATAATAAATGTATTAGCAGTAGAACACGCCTCGCGTTATTCCTTGTGTACAGACACTGCGTGTTTTTATTACATTGCGTGCGATACAATGAATAAAATTATTTTATAATCAACGTACTTATTGAAACAGAATTATCGGAGTTTTTTTAAATCCATTTCTTAAGCCACGGATAAGAACCGCGGAACCGTGGCATATCTCATCCCCTCTTGCTCTATTTTTGTTTTAACTGAATTAAGTATCGAATACCGAGTGACGCGACGAGGGGTCTTTTAATTCAGATCCATCAGTACTGCCATAGACACTTCAACTGTACAGAATAACGGTCGTCCCCGCCCCTCGAACCGGAACGCATTAGATGCTGAATTAATAAGGATAGCGGTACCCACTCGTGTGGGCTTGTACGCCCTACCAGCAGTAAAGTATTCTTAAATGTATAGACGAGCGAACGAGCTCACAGCTGACGTGGTGCTATCGGAGCTCATATACATCACAACGCCGTTATTCATCTTGGAGCACAAGGTCGAGGTCTCAATTGTATCATATACTGGCCGCTCCCACTCTTCCCGCTAGAGCGCAAGACTCCTTCGCATCAGAAATAATTTTTTTAAGGGATTTTATGACCTGGTAACTAAGGCCTTTAAGTCATTATGGAGATAAATGAAATGAAATGAAATGAAGATGATTAATTTGAGACATTAATCAACTGGGATGAAATTAAATGAAATGAGATGATATTATGGGATGAAATATTATAATCTCAGTAAAATGGTGGTCATTTACTGAGACTTTTTCAATGGACTTTTTGGAGGATCCCAAGAAGCTACGTCCAGCGGCTTGTTTAATTTTCCCACATTTGTATACTTTCACAGATATTAAACATGGGCTCCAGTAACCACTTAACACCAGGTGGGCTGTGAGCTCGTCCATCCATCTAAGCAATAAAAAATAAAAAATTGTACACTTTCACAGATATTAAACAGTTAATAAACCACCGTTATTACACATTTAAACCTGAAGAAACACTAAATAGACAAAATAAAACAAATCACACAATTTCACTCCTCGCTTTCCCGCCAAAAAGTCCGCATCAGAAATAAGAAGAACGGTCTGACCTAAGCCCCCGCAGAATTATAATACGTCCTACCACCGATAAAGAATCCATATATGTATATATTTTTGTTTCAGTACCATGGTATACTTACTACAATGGCAGAATTTCCGTCGTTTCTACTTGTACATCATGACAGATAACTACCGCAACATTATCACGCGTCACAAACGAATGCTACTTAGTCCTGAGATGAAGAGTAGATACTGCCTCGATGAAAATATGATTGTATCCGCCGGCACACTGCCCGATCTAGACGAGGCGTATTCCAGGTGACCGTTTTATCAATATGATTGGAATCACATTATCTATAGGTACTATCTATACTATCTATACTAATATTATAAAGAGGAAAGATTTGTTTGTTTGTATTGAATAGACTCCGAAACTACTAAACCGATTTGAAAAATTCTTTCACTGTTTAGAAGCTACACTATTCCCGAGTGACATAGGCTATAATCTTTTTTGAAAAAGCTGAGTGCATATATCATTTAGATTGCAATCCAAATCAGTTTTAGGTACTATTTGTATGGTTTAGTTAATACTAGTGGTCCCCCGGTAGTCGAAATTCGACTTTAATTAATTGAAATTATTAGCTTGTACACTATTATTATTCTATTGTCAATCTCTCATACTTGTATAATCACAGATTTCGTAAAGATTATGTACACTTTAGACAAATATTATTAAAGACAAACAATATTTAATCTATTCTCAATTTGACCACAGACTATAAGCAATAAGAAAAATTTGAAAATAAAAAAATAGTAAGCATGCGTAAGTGTGTAACATACACGATAGTGTCTGTAATGTTTTTTTTGTTATTGATTTCATGATTTTTTTGTGCATAATTTAAAAAAAAAATTAACATTCTGCACTTTTTTCTATAAGTGTGGGAAATTTCATACTCCTCCGTCCGCACAATTTTCGTAAAAAGGGATACAAAGTTTTTAGTTCGCGTATTAATATATAGATGTAATGTGCTGTAATGATTGTGATTTGTTTTGTTCATCAATAAATAAATAAATAAACGATCAGAACGTTTTGAAATATTTTTTCGTTTTGTTTCCAGGAGGGTGTACGGGTTCGAGTCCGTGGCGGACCTGTACAAGTGGAGTTCGTCAGCCTTCTATCTGCACAACATAAAGACCCCGATGGTGTTCGTGAATGCGCGCGACGACCCGATCGTCCCGGAGCCCCTGCTGCCCATCGTCCGAGAGTTTGTTAGTGAGTATCACGTAAATACTAGGTACTTGAATGTTTATTTCAGGTATAATAAAGCGGTGTTCTGTAGCAGCGGGTGGGTATCATGGAACAGTTTCAAAATAAGTTTGCATATTTACTTTATTATACTTTTTACTGGTGGTAGGACCTCCTGTGAGTCCGCGCGGGTTGGTACCACCACCCTGCCTATTTCTGCCGTGAAGCAGTAATGCGTTTCGGTTTGAAGGGTGGGGCAGCCGTTGTAACTATACGTGAGACCTTAGAACTTATATCTCAAGGTGGGTGGCGCATTTACGTTGTGGATGTCTATGGGCTCCAGTAACCACTTAACACCAGGTGGGCTGTGAGCTCGTCCAACCATCTAAACAAAAAAAAAAAAAAAAAAAATGCGCCACCCACCTTGAGATTTCTAAAGTCTCAGTATAGTTACAACGGCTGCCCCACCCTTCTAACCGAAATGCACTGCTTCACGGCAGAAATAGGCATGGAACATTATATCATAATATAGAACAGTTTCAAAATAAGCTTGCATATACAGTCAAACCTGGATAAGTGAGAACTGGATAAGTGAGAAAACTCTATAAGTGAGAGTAATAGCCAGGACCCGTCATTTTAAGCTCCGAAAACCTCTATTAGCGAGAAACAGAAACCTCTGTAAGAGAGAGTCGTTTTACCCTCATGGACCTCCGTAAGTGAGACTGCTACTAATCTATACCTCTATAAGCGACAGTCGAGCTTTATTTATTTATGTTATTTAGGAGGAACATATGACAAAACAAATTACAAATTTAACATCTGCTATTTTATGACTCATTCTTAACTTTCGTGGAACTTCCTACCATTGTTTTTGTATTGTTTTCTCGTCAATATTGAACCTATTCTATTTCGTGAAACTAAATAACGTTGTTGTTTTATCGCATTCTTTTCGAATGGAGACGTGTGCCTGTGTACCGTCCTGTTTGTCGGACTTACTCAGTTTATCGTTAATCAATTGCGAAGGAAAGTTCTGTTCTGCATCATGTCAAAACGGAAAATTAAAGTACTGTCATTAAGTGATAAACTTAAGTTAGTGAATGCGTTTGAAACCGGAAAATCGCGCAATGTAATTCTGAGGGAGCATTAGCGAGAAACTCGGGTTAGTGAGAAACCTCTATAAGCGAGAATGAGATTGTGCTCCCTTGAACTCTCGCTTATCCAGGTTTGACTGTATACAAGTTCCGAACAATAATTACGGAGCAATTTCACCCGCGCGGTGGATGATCTTCCTTTTGACGTTTATATCCCGATCAGCCACGGTTATTGGATGAAAAACGAAGGTACAGTGCTGTTGATGGTCCAACGAGTTCACGGCTAACCGGATCAGTGTGCTTAGTGCGAGTTTTTTAACGTTCTCGATAGCGTAAAAGTTAGCTCATATTTATATGGAATGGGACCGTTTGCGTACGTTTGCCGCTAGGGGCGCTGTTCCAATTACATACAAAAATGGCTTAACTGTTACGCTATCGAGACCGTTAAGAAACTCGCACTAAGCACACTGAGGTGAGTTATCTTAGAGGTTAAAGTATCGTATTGAAACGGCGGCAGACCTACATCCGCTCCCCACTAATTTATGTGTATTATCTATGCGCTCCCCACAAGATTACTTAAGGCGATTAACGATGGTATTTAGCCGGGCAGAATTGCAATCTGCTTTACCAATAGTTTGATGTTATCGTTCGAGATTGTTATGAATAAAGTCGGGTCTCATCTGAACTCATTACTGTAGCATATTATACAATACATAGTTGATGATAATGAAGCACTAAAAACTTATCTAATTGATTGGTAATAATATTATATTTACTACGACACTAGAATGTATCTAATTAATGGAAACTATTTAAAATGTATCTGTGTACAATAAAGTCTGAGGTGACAAACAGTAAATTTATGGGAGAGTTATTTATTGCTGGTGGTACAGAATACCGTCAGCCCATAATGGTGGTTACCATCGTCCTATCTCTTTCTGCCGCGTTGCAACCGTGTTTTCCAACTGTATAAGTAAACCTCGTAATACTATTGAGATGGTAATATTTTAAGAAGCCACTGTCATGTCCTTCGGTAACCAGTTAACACCAACTAGACGAGACAATAATAAAACAGTCTTAAATAATATCTTCATTCTACATCCTTGATTCTAGAAGTCACGATGTCATTGTCTGATATATGCGATATGAACATTGTAATGTTTATGTACTTGCGTAGGTATCATACATAGGAATCACCGCAGTTCAACGTTCAAATGTTATCAGTATCGTACGATTTTATTTTTTCCAGTACATTAACAAATTAATATAAATAACTCTCTAGCTTCTAGACTTGTGTCAACATGTAATTTCACAATTAAAATTGTTTTTCCTTATTTATTTTGCTACGTTATCAATATTCTAAACTGTAGTCAATGAAATAGAGAGAAATAAGGTTTGTTTATGCTGTGCAAATTCAGTACTAACGATAATAATTAATGTTGCGGAATATTGTTAGATAACATTTTCATTAAAAACTTGAAACGTCTATGTCTTAGGGTCTGCCTGTCTGTCTTATGTCTCTGTAGGGTGCGGTGTGAGTTTGTTATTTAAAGATTATGTTGTTTAAAAATGTTTATTACTAAAATATAAAGTAAATCAATTAAATGTTAATGTTATGAATGCACCCGGGTGACCCGGATGTTGATCGTGCACTAGCGATTTGTGGAAATAAAGTTAACGCGTCACGCGAATTATGCTGACAAAGGTGTTCGGTAATATATCAACGAACATATTCCGGGGTAACAAAATAGAGGATACTTTAATGAAATAATTGTTAGTAAAGAGACGATTACGGCTTACAAGAGGATGAAAGAAAAACAAAAATAGAATTAAAATGTTAGTTATAATAAAATTTCAGAACTTAAGGTCCATATAGGTTTTCTTGGTATTGGAGAGCACGCTTTGTTTGACACTTTGATATAAATATTCACATCACTAGGCGGAGGGTCCACTACAGAAGGTCGCGCACTAAACCCTGCCTTAGCACTATTTACATTCTCACAATCACTACACTGTTGAAGCTTGATGCCGTCAGAGATGATCGCCCGGTCAACCGGCGTCGTCGCCAAAGTAGCACGCCGGTAGCCAGCACTCCTACGATGACGATGATGTACGTTATCATATATTGATGAATATCGTGATATGTTAATGAAGTCTCCAATACTGGCGGGGAGTTTTATAGATCTTCAATACGCACGTGTAGTTTCTGGGGAGTGTTCTGCAATCTTTAGACTCGCTGATATTAAGGTTCTCAGTGTTGAGAAGAGAATTGTTGATGATGTTATTAAAAATTATCGGATCTATTATTGGAAAGTAAATGTTAGACTGAATCTCCAGCTTATTGTTGTTGTTTGTTTTAGGGATATGAAGTGTATAATCAGATCCCTTTATAAGGCAACCTGGCTCTAGATACAGACGACCAGTGTTATTTAACTGTTTCAAGACAATATGTTCTCCGCACATGACCTTTACTTCGCAGGTGCCACAGCAGTGATACAAATATAAAGAGGGATGAGTTAGTGTTATTATTTTGGTTTCACAATTCGAATACTTTAATTGGCATTCGTTGTTATCAAGTTCAATCTTACAAAACTTCGTCTCCGGGCGTAAATGAAGAATCGGCGTTGTAAGCTTGCAATAGTAAGCTTCTTCTTGTTGATTACAGGATAAGGCTTCTTCGGTTGTGAGTTCAAGAAATGAATCTCTTTTGAAGTCGGTAGCGATGTATTCGCATGCCGGAACTACTTCAATAGTCATATTTCCTCTTTGATAAGGAATAGAATGTACTTTAAAAAGTTTGAATCGATCTTGATTAATGAGTGGAAATGTTATCTCGAATAAGAAATATTGTAGAGTAATACGAGCCTTTATGTTTAACAGAGGATACAAATTCTTAATATTCTGCGGTTCTACGGGAAGAATTGTGTCTTCAGGTAAATATCCGGTGATAATGTTTTGTTCCTTTTGAATTTGTTCTGGAGTAAGCAAATGAATGTTGAATTGACCATGATGTATGTTAGTTAAAATGTCCAACAATATATTTTGCGACCCTTTCAAATTGTGCAATAAATTAGTTGTTAACATTATGGTAAATTCTTGTAGAATCGATATGTTGTTTATTTGCTGTTGAAGTCGATTTGACATGTTTTCTAGGTTATTTATGTGTTTATTAATAGTCTTATGCTGCTTAGACATGACTTCTTCTGTTCTTTTTAGTAAGTTGTATTCCGATTCGACGATCGAAGTTTGGTTTTTCCATAAACTCACAAAATGCTGTTCATTATGTTTTACGAGCTCTATGTCTTGCAAGTATTTTTCTGCGAAATGTTCATCTAATACTCCGAACAGAGTTAGCAAGATATCCGACACCATTGATAAAACCACGACGCTGTCTGTTGATTTATAAGTAGCTCATTATAGTAAGTTAATTCTTTGTATTCGCGGATCAATTGATCGACTATTATGCTACACTGACCATCTTCAAGGACTTTGCATGATTTATCTAAATGTGTAGTAGCCTTTTCGAATGCCTTCATATCTTCTCGATATGGAGACATGTTATAATATACAACCAAGTTCCAAGTGCTCTTTATTAAATTTAATTTTGTTACGGGATCAAAATATAATGATCGATCACCTTTCAGCTTGGTTATGTTACAGGCATCGCTGGTGCATAATGGCATGAAAAATATTAGTCCCTTCACCATATATGATAGTCTTCCACGTCTTGACTGTTTTTACTTGTGTTTTGTAGGTTGAGAAGAACAATAATTTTGTTTTTTCTTATAGTCAGAATTATCCACTTGCTCAGCTCTTTCAATGGGCAATTTAGACAGTTTGACGACAGGTCGTTTTATAATGCCATTTTTTGTTTTGAGTGATACCATCCTGACATAGCCGTCGTTGCCGGGAAAAACTTCTAGGACTCTACCCATG